AAACTTTGTTTTAGCTGCAAATATTTTCACATAAAGAAAATGAAGAAAATGAAAAGGAAAAAAAGTTACTTGAAATGTTTTTATATTTTTTCCCAAAATTTCACATTTGCACAATAACTATTCTACGTTCACGACTACTTTGAAATGTGTTAACAGTTTATTATACAACTTCCTGCTGCAATGCCTTTGCTATGGACATATGTTACCCTTTCAAACGCAGTTATATTGAAATTTACAGATCAAATTATATACCGCAATATGTACTGTCTACGGTTCAAATTATACCGCAATATGAATTTTATGCCATATCGCACAGCCCTAATTAGGAGTATGCCTAAAAATGAGATGTGTATGTGTTGTATAAGGATATGTCAAATTTATACGGATTACTAATTAAATTTGGTTAGCGTAGCGCGACACAAGAGATAAGCACTGGATTCGAGATGAAGGAAGGGACAGATCAGCAACCACAACATCTTTTAAAAGAGGAGGTACTGTGCTTTAACAAAGTAAAAAGATAATTGTGGTGTGTGGTACTTTTTGCAGATTAAAGTCCAACAAGTTTTTTTTTTTTCTAAATATGGTTTTCATTTTTATTTCAGTTCATGAATTATTTTTGCATTTAGTGCGTTTTCATTTCAGTTTACCATAACGACACTAGTCCCATGTCCATCGCGCATGAACGCACAGACTGACACCGTTAATCCAAGTAGAGTAACCCAAGATTGTAGTCTAAACATTTTCACAAACACTTATTCAATGGAGATTCTAATACAGCAAGCAGATAACTTTATAGGGCTGGGCGATATCATATCGATATTGCATCACGCATGTGCGATAATCACCAGGGCTTCAGATGATAGATGAAGCATTAGGCCGGACACCAGCTTTTCGGTGCTATACAGACATTAATTTACGCCCACAATTTGTGAAGCAGTTTAGTATTATGGCTAAAATATCAATGAGGCTTTGTATGATGCCCAAAACGCATTATTAATATAAATACGGCATATCCTTGTTTAATAAATATCACTTTGAACTTCAAAAAGTAAAACCACACTGCCGACGTCTTTTTACCTTATCCACAAGATCTCCTCTTTTAAAGGATGCCGTGGCTGCTCTTCTTCACCGCGACTTCAGTGCATATTGCACTGAGGTATACCAAACTGTAGTATACCAAAACAGTATTATGTGGTGTGCTCCACTAATTGAATTTAAGAAACAAAGTTTATACAGATTACTAACTTTTGCGTAGCACAAAATTCATCTCATTAATATTTAAGCCATACTACTAATCTTCTTACCAAATTATGGGCGTAAACAAATGTCCGTATATTACCGAAAAGCTGGTGTCCGGCCAAATGCTTCGTCTGACATCTGAAGCCCTGGAGATTATTGCACATGCGTGAAAATATCGATATGATATCGTCCATCCCTACAACTTTATGGCTTTAATTATGAGTGCATTTAGCAACTACAAGGACAAAAGATATTAAAAAGCTCTCCGTACTAACGGCAATTCAATAAACATGAATAGACAACACAATGGTTTTGCCTGTTCTGGCAGTCTAGAATAGCACTTGTGTGTTTTCTCTTCCGGTGCTCATGGATGGCACTAGTACCAGGGCTGTGGAGTCGGAGTCGGAGACAATTTTGGGTACCTGGAGTCGGAGTCGGCAAAAAGTTAACCGACTCCGACTCCTACTAAATTTAAATGGGAATTAAAAAGTAAGTTGAAATGTCCCAATTCACAAACAGTCATAATGAACTACTTCTCTGCTGTAAGAATAAAGCCCAATGCATGCAGTGCATAATGTTACCACAAAACGAACATGTCAAGTAACCATGAAGCATGCTTTTCATTGACTGTATGCGTCATTATATGGGATGTAATGCACAGGTAAGGTGCGGCACCGCTTTCCATTGTGTCGTGTTCCACTGTTACAGGGAACTGTGAACCTAGCCTAAAGCCCCCCATACATTTACAGATGCACTGCCGATTTTTCGGCCGTTCAACGAGTCATCACGCGTCAAACGCCTGAAAAATCATCTGGTGTGTTCTCAGCTCCGTCGGCTCCCCTTCGCTATGCGCTACCCTTGAAACCTTGTTTTCATTGTGTTTGTCTTTAATCTGGCATTATAGTAGAGTGTTGGCTTCCTAGCCAGTAGTTCTGTGGTGAAATGACATGTATGCTGCCTTCCTTTCCTTCAATGGATGTAGAAAATACATTAGCATAGTATATACATACAGAGGAGTCGGAGTCGGAGCATTTATCTACCGACTCCACAGCCCTGACTAGTACCACCATGGCATGCCATCACACTTTGTACAGTGTAAAACCACATTTTTGTTTTGAGATTATTTGAACTACTCCCATAATTAGATAGTGATATTAAAGAAAACACTTGTTATAATGAAGCATCTTAGAAATCATAAAGGAATTTTATTCAAATAAAAAACGATGCGCCAATTTAAAAAATTCAGTGTCGACATTGACTATGTCGACTAATTGCGAAAGCTCTACACACAATTTAGTGCGACCACGAAATACAAAATCAAGCAGAGCGGTCATGACACCTCGATTAAACTGGATTGCTTGATTTGAAAGTTATAAAGTTTGCCTTCTCGATTACTCACCCATATGGTGTAAGAAAGACTAAGTATAGCAGATGAGAATCCAAATAAAAAAAAGAGTGAAAGCCTCAGTTGCATGTGAGCACTTCAGATTAAGTCCATAGACACAGTTGAGTGTACATAAAATCAGCATAATGTTCCAGATTCCAAATGTGTGAGAATTAAACATTAAAATTAGAGCTGAAATGATTACTCAAATAACTCAAGCATTCATTGAAAGGTTCCATACTGCTGATTCAGCAAAATTCTCCTTTCGTCCGTAGAACTGATACGGTAAAAATATGAATATTTTAAATTGCTGACCAGTCCCTCCACATACAGGGGGATCTAAAGGTTAGCAGCTAATTCTGCTAGCAGCAACAGATTATGCTGCTAACTACAAATGGGGACATTGTGTACTGCCATATTTTAAAATATATTTTGACAGTGTGATTTCTGTACATTATGAACTGTCATGTGGACAGAGAAAATGTCAAATGTCAGATTTTGGTCTGAAATATCTTATTTTTATTGAATTTACAAATTTGTTAAACAATTTTGTTTTTTCATGTCATGGAAACCACTTTTATTATTCAAAGACCTGGTCGGCACAAATTCTCTTATTCTTATGCTTGAACAAAATAATTGAGTAATCGAATAAAATAAAATAATCTGTAGATTACTCGATAAAAATAATCAACAACTGCAGCCCTAGTTGTTATATTAGCATTTAAACATTAACTACACATATTTCTTATAATGCTAGACTAGTTAAGATGAGCATGCGTACAACTGATAAGCTGTCAAAAAATGAATGTATTCCCTGAATGCCCCTGTCATCCTCTCTCCCCTACCCAATCACTACTGCAGTTGTATTAACTTTTAGTTAATACATTTTATGCAGGGCTAAGGAACCTCCAGCCTTTTGCTGCTGTTTCAATATTGGTGCAATTTGTCTGAGGTCTATCAGATGTAGAATTTCATCCAAAAGGTTTCTGTGAAGTGGGAATAAGATTCAAGGATCAGGTTCACAAGGATAAACAACTTATCCAAGTCACCCTTCCATTTGCTGTCATTAAGTGCCACTGCTTCAATCTAAGGGGGGTCTCTCTCTGTCAGTTCCAGTTAATTACCCACACAATGATGCATTTTTCAAACTGTGCAAGTTTCGAAAAGATCCATCCAATACTTTGAGTTATCTTCTTATCAAAAAAGTATTGGAGGCAGCAGTGTACTGCTCTGAAAACCACACACATTTCCAATCCAGAGAACAAAATTAGACAAACTATTTCATGTTATTAATCTTCCAATGTGAAGCTCCGCAATCAAGCTTTAGCAGCCCATAGCCTATTAAAGTTTCCGAAATCTTGTCAGTTAGGACTGAATTCACTGAAAGCTTAGTTCAGTCCTATTGGACTAACAAACACAGGACCTACAAGGATACAGTAGGTGGACCATTGACTTGGATGTATAAAAACAAAAAGGAAAAAAGGTGAACTACCTAAAATGAAAGGAAAAAAAAAAAACTCATGCATGTTATACATAAATCTTTTTTTCAGCTAAACTGTGCTCCTCAATGTCTCATTTCCAGCACAGTTAACAGTGTGAGTAATGTAACTTTCTGCAAAGAATAAAAGGGCAGCTGCATATCAAGGAAATCAAAATCATATTTTGTTTTGTTTGGAAAATGTTCTTACTAAGAAATAATTCCAGCTAACAAAGGTAATTTTTTGTAGATCGATACAAGCTGACTAGAAGTTATATCTAGGTAGATAAAGCAAGTTCAACCAAATACAACAAATAGGTGGCCAACAGAGCAAAGTCTAAAAGAAACAAAACACTGAAAAATCCAGTTTGAAACATGTGGCTGTTGACGTTCCGTTTTACAAAATGCAAGAGATCTGATAGATGGCACATGACTACCATGAGTCTTCAACATTAGCAAGAGAAAGTGGGTTAAGGCTTACGGTCACTACTACCTGGGTTTGTTCTTTGATTTTAGAAATCTGTATCATTTTTGACAAAGTTAATGATCTCGCCAATGTGAACTCAATCAATAAATAGAAAATCATGTCCATCTGAAATGTCAAAGTACAGTTAGAAGGACATTATGCAACATGCTGCAGGATTTGAGGAAACTGTATAGAATGTGCTTTGCAGTTGTATGCGTTATCAATGCTTAGTTATCATTTGCATGCAGTATATTAACAGAAACAGGGTTAAAGTTTAGTGAACAATCCTATAACATCCAAGGACATGCTTTGTTGTTTCTCCCAAAACTAAGTTCTTTTTAATCACAGTGCAGCTGTAACTACAGCAAAAAGTGCCTTTATAAATCATCACACGAATCTTACCTACACATTAGCTACTAGGTATACAGGTAGACAAACTAATGATGCATACAGAGCAGTAAACATTACAGAACGACTTCACAGTCATACTAGGCCATATGGTATCAGTTCAGATGACACACGACATGTGACACTATGCTCAGGTATTGAATTATTCCTGAGAAAAGGGCTCATCTGAGTTTCAGTATATCCCAAGTAATTATTTCAAAACGTTTTCATAATACAATCGAGAGCTACGGGATGTTTCCAAAGTGTCTATCGGAAATATCATCACTAATAACTAACTGTACTGTTGGCAATACTATCCGTATAACAATAAAAAAGAATAAAGACTGCAATAACGGTAACAAAGCAAATCCACAGAAAAGCTTAGTCTCATAAAACTCCCAAACTCTAAATCCTTAATACATTTAAGCATCCAAGCTCATTATATATTCAAATCTTAATACCTATTTTTAAAGAATGAAGGTTACCTTGCCAGCAGAGATGAGGGGTCTTTGTCAGGTCCACTTTCTTTTGTTTTGGGTTAACTTTCAGAATAGTTCTTTAATCACGTTTCCTTCCCTTAGTAATAAACTAGCTTGCAGCTAGAAAAATAATCATAAAAGTTTTAAGAGCGAGCATGTGCCTTAAAATTAAGCAAGGAAAAGAAGAAGTTTTTCCTTAAAAAAAAAATGCTTAAAATGAGTTTTAAAATTATCCAAGCGAACAGACAGCAAAAGATCCCAAAGGCCTTAGAAGTAACACAGCGATAATTTTCCGGCACTTTTCGGGTTTTGCAGTATTGCCTGCTAGCTAGCGATTATAGCTAAACATTTTAAATATTTTTAAAGGAAAACTCCTGTTGCGTTTTTTTAAGCATTACGACGCGATAGACATGGTCCCAAGCTTCGACTCACTTTACCTGCCCAGGAGGCAGTGAGTTAAAATGAAAACCTTGGAAAAACTACACTCAGTCTAGGCAAAGGAAAAACAGATGGGAAGCAAGCTAGCTAACAGCGGCGCTCATATCTAGCTGGAGCTAACGACGGCTAGCTAAAGCCTGGGATAAAAAGTAACTGCTAGCAGCTAGCCAAGAGACTACCGAACGACCATCGATGAAAATCCTGAAAAGAAAACGTAAAAAGAAAGTAAATCCAGCCTTCGCGTTCAGGAGAAAGCCGTGTGGGAAAATAAGCAAAGTTAAATATCCATATGGTATTTGCTTCGGTGTGAGTGGCCGTCGTCGAGGATCTTCAAGCCGCGTCACCACACTAGCCTGGAAGAGCCCGAGAGAGCCGAAAGGGTGACAGGGGGACCTTTAACTTTCCCAAATTTATCCTCAACCGAAAAAAAGAGAGCTCTCCACGCGCTTCTCTGCAAGCTTGAGAAATAATAAATCCGACTGCCGTCCACAAATTAGGTTTCCTTTTGTCTTCCTTCCTTTCTTCCCTCTTTTTTAATGCCGGCTCTGCCAAACCGGGCCCCTTCCACTCGGCGTTAGAGTCCCCGCTCCTGTTATCTGCCGTTTCCGGCTCTGCCGATAAATCACTGAGCGCCGGTGACGAGAGCGCGCGCGGAGACCGGAGCGCGCGGCTGGGTATGTAGCGCCATCTCAAGCCTCCACTGTTGTACTTTCTACGTTTCATTAAAACCGAACTTTTCTTTCGATACCTGTGAGTTTCTTAAAAATATGTTAGATCAATAGTATTGATATTAAATGTATGCTCTTATAAATCTGTGTCCTCGGAATCTACGAAAATGATCAGGATGTGAAAAGCTTTGACTAAAGACGACGCTGACGTTCAGTTCTGCTTCTATTGTGGTCGTCGGTAGACTGGCATCTTCTCAATGATACTATGCCTCCTGGACAGACTGCATGCTCAACGAAATCTTGTAATCTATTAAGATATACAGAAATAGTCATTTAATTTTAGTCTTGGTCCATTATGTATAATTGTAGTGTACTCCATGTAATCATTTTCATGAAAAGTTTTCGAGTAATGATTTTTGTTCACTCATAAAACGGTTATGTATAAAAAAGTTTCTAGGTGACACTTTATTCATAGATTATTGTTCCATTATTTGTTCACTGGATGTTCTTATCTGAACTTATAAAAGCTTGGGGTTTTGACTTTTAGAGATGCAGAATTCTGAATAGTTACTGGAGCAATTACTATTTTGTTGGCCAATATTGTTAAGTCCACTTATTTAGTAATGCCCCAGTGATATCTGTATATAAAGTGGATTACATAGTAATTCTTCATGATAAATATTATGTTGTGTTTTTTTTCTTAGATTATATGGTGATCTGGTAGAACTTTTACTGTGGGGGTCTGAAACAATATTTAGCACTTAATCACTGATGGAGTTGGTGTCAGTTTTGTCTAATACCTTAATCATTTATGGATACAAACTAGGGTCAGATGTATGCTTTTATTTACATACTAGTTCTTTAGGGTGGGTTACATAGTTCTATATCAGGCCAGTCTGTTTGTGTACAGCCAGAGACCAGATAAGATCAATCTACAACCCAGAAACTATAAAATTGTTTTAATTGCTATAGAGCCTTCCTGTATATTACAGGAGGATTTCCAATTATTCATAAAGGTTGATAGGAGTGAGTAGATAAATTCTTCACAATGTGTACTTTGTGTATATGTTTCAATCCTACAATATTAAATGTTTACAAGCATTGCACCCCCAAATGAGCAGAATACTTTTTTATCCATGCTGTTTAGCAGAAATGATCAATGACGAACATGTCTTAATTTGGATATTTTCAAATCTAGAATTGAAACCCACCTGTTTGGATAAGCTATTAGTCCTGCTTAAATATTTTGCTTTACCGCTGTTAATTTGGAATTCTTTAAATTTTAGGTGATTTACATTTTTAACTGTTCATTTTATAAACTGGTACATTTGGTTCTTTATTTCTGCCTCTTGTTTTATTTATCTTCAGGATTGTACAGCACTTTGGTTAACAAAAAATAAAACATACTTGCTTACTTACTATTTTCTGAAGTAAGTGCAGAGTAAAACTGTGTAAAGCAATCAAAGTGATAACTCCTCACAATAAATCCATGTTACTCGTCCTCTTGCCCTACTTCTCTTTGCTGTCATTTTGATTTTACACATTGACTTTTTTAGATGTTTTTTTAGATATTCTGAGATGGGGACTCTTCCATCAGCAAAGCTGACATCTAACTCATACAAAGAATGAAAACAAAAAAAAACAGGGGGCATTTTCAAAATGAACCAATAATGTTTGTCGCTGGACTTTACTTCACAGCTCAGGCTCTTCAATTCTATACTATTTCATTTTGGACCAAAACAGCAGTCCTGCATAATCACTTGCATAGTGAAAAAATAAAATGAAAGATGCCTGATATGTCTGACTCATCACCACACTCATCATCACTCAGTGACCACACCAAAAGTGGTGTCGTTGAGTGGTGTCAGAGAGAGACTGCTAAATATTTGATCTTCGTGCTGATCAGGGAGTGACTGGATTTTCTTGCCTTTGTACAAGCTGGAAAACTGCAAGTGGTTAAATATGTTGTGGCATCTATTTGTAGATCTATGAATTTATTATAGTTAATTCATATAGTTGATTCACTATGGCGCTTTCACCAAGTAGAGCAGCCATAATGCACCTGCTGTTGAACTTAGTGCACCAAAAACAATGCTGGGCATTGTGCCTCTTGTACTCAGCCTCTTGTACTCTACACATGATACAAAATGACCCCATAAAGCCCTCTTTGCTTGTCGTCACTGATCATTGCGTAAGGATCACAAGATTAGGCTGAGATGACTCTTCTTGGAATTCAAATTGTGACCATTTCTGTGAACATGCAAAGCGTGACATTTATGGGGTGACTTTATTGCCATGTTAGCTTTTGTATGTCTGTTTTCTATTTAATTGGAAGAAACACATATATTTTGGAAAAAAATGATTGTTCAAGTATTTGTATGATATCACTCGCAATGGAAACCTATTCTCAGAGCAGACATCTCAATTTCGGAAAAAGTGGTTCATTCCTTAAACAGGTGAACTTGTATAACCAAAAAAACAAACAAAAAAATGGGTGATCACTGTGATTAATTTTAATGGCATTCAAATAAGTGTTGTGAAGCAAAAAAACATGCAAGCCTTCTGAAGCATGTCTTATGTGATACTAATAAATTTTTTGATTTTGGGTTAGATAACTAAATGTTTTGTCTGACTTACAATCCAAATTAGAGTGTTGCCTTCAAAGTGACAATTACATTAATTCGGGTTAGGGTAAGAGAGACAGCTATTTAAACTATTTAACCAGCTAGTTAAAGAGTCAGCTATTTCCTGAAGCTACTGCAGAGTCAGCCACTGTAATGTTTTTTGTGTAACTTATGTCTATTGAGAATTGTATCAGTTGTGCAAGCCAGACATTCAGACCAAAAACCATTCAGCTTCATTTCTTCACACTTCATAACTTGCAGTTTTCCTCATCATCCCCAAAAATATCCCTGGATTCACAGTGCTTTCCTTCACAAGCAGTGTGTTGATGTGTTCTAGCAGGTAGCAGTGAAGAATGTGAGGAATTTATGGTATTTTACCAGATACAGCAGAAGACCTCTCTATTAGAGAAACATCTGTTCTGAGAAAGAGACAAGAAATCTTATAGGGATTATTTATACAAATTGTGACAGCTGGAGAAATTTACTTCAAAAACATGAACAAAAGATAATTATCTTTGAGGTCGAATGTTAAAACAAAATTAATGAGTTATTAATGAGTTTTTCTGACCCCCTCAAGTAGCATATGCAGTGAGAAATTTGAAATTCTCCATCATGACACATTTTACCATATCAAACCAGAATATATTACATTTATAAATCAACATGTTACACCTACACACAGAACAGCACACCGTGCAGGATGCTGAAAACTCTCCATGCCTCCCTCTCCTCTGTGCATACCTGTAAAACCTGTGAAAGAGGCAAGATCCAAGATGGACAGCATTACCATTTCTACCTCCCCTTTCCTGAGAGACAGGAAGCCACATGATAGCTCCAAGCTGTACAAACATTAAACAGCTCACCAGACCTTACAAAAACACAACTTGCAGAGCACTTTCAAGGTATGAAGCACTGAAATGGGCAAATAGGAATATGCTATGAAATGAAATATGCATATAAAATAATAATGCATACATTCAGATAACAGATGCAAGTGTAAAAGAGCAACAATTAAGCACTTAAAAACAATACCAACTTACAGTGTTTCTTAAACTGGTTCTGATGACAGCATTTATATACATTTGTTATAGTTAACCTGCAAATTAATGACGTTTGATGGGGATGTTACATACTTAAAAACTAAGGCTTCTTTGGGAAGAGTATCATAAGTACAATTGCATGAACTTGTCAAATCAGTTTTTTTTTAGGGACCTCAAACGTTGTTTTCACTAGACAGCCCCATCATCTGCTCTGCCCATCTAATTCGTACTCTTCCCACACTCCCCAACCTCTACAGTTTCATGAAGTACTGGATGCATGAACTGGAAATGGTCTGAGTCATAGTTTTGACTTTTACAAAGGTCATTTACATGCGAGACATCCATATTTTGGTGTTTTTCCACCCAAAGCACATATTTAGCCTAAGTACGTGTAAACCCCAGACATAAGTCAGTGGGAGAATATGTTTAAGTGAAAAAAGTACACAACTACGATTTATTGGCATTCAGATAGGTGTTGTAAATCACAAATGCGAGAATTGACCCTCTTATTACACATTTCAGTAACATGCCAATTTGCACAATCTCTCCCCACTAATTAGGTGGTTAACTGTATTTCTTTGTGCATGTCTTAATGTCCGTGACTTAAATGTCATTTATATTTTTTATATACAGTGGTACCTCAGTTCTCAAACTCATTAGAATGCAAATTTCTTAAAAGTGACCTAGAACTCGATCTGAATCTCAGAAGTCAAACCATGAACTCCGACCTAAGATAACTTGTACATGCGGGGAAATGAGTCATGGGGCACGTCTCTCAGCGGAAACAAAGGGTAACGCTTCAGTCTCAGCCTCACATTCGCTGTGATAGCATCGTGCATGTTTACACTAGCTGAATACATATATTTAGACAGTAAAAATACATTTAGACAATGATAGTAACAGTAATTATTATATAATAAAATACATTTAAAATAAAGATTTCTTATTAATTATTTTAATATCATTAATAATAAATCATTAATACATTTAATTATAATAAGATTGTGGTGCAGCGCATGGATATCTGGGGATCAGGGTATCTGGGAATACGGAGTTTAATTACAGGTAAGGCAGGCAAAACGCAGACGAACAATACAATGACTGAACTGAGGAAACAAACTGAAACACGGACTAAATACAGAGGACTAATGACAACAACCAGAAACAGCTGATCACACAGGGAATCCACACGGGGTTAAGGAGGGGGCGTGGCACACGGAAGGAGCGGATGATCGGGGCAGGACACATTTTTTTTTTAAACTTTACACATTGTTTGGATACATTTATTTTCTTACTTTACAAATTACTGTTTTGATAAATGTGTTTAGATCAGTTTAGTACAGTATATGCTCTTCTTATTTTATCCTGTTCATTTTGTGTTTACGTGTAATTTTTGGGGGCCGGGAACCAATTAATTGGTTTTCCATTATTTCTTATGGGAAAAATTCAAACCCGAGTTCTGAACGGATTAAGTTCAAGAACTGAGGTACCACTGTATCTTAATTTTGATATTATATTTGATCCTCATTTGCACTATGACCAACATTTTCCACTACAAAAAAATTAAGAACCATAACAAACACCAATGGTTTAGATGTAAGGCAGGTTCATACTTCTCCGCATGCAGACATGCACACACACTTTTGATGAAATTTAAATAAATGTGCTCCATGTGTGGTTGAACCCTTGCAGCAGAAATATTTATAAATTAATGTTTATAATGTCAGGGATTTATGGCAGATTTATGCATGATGCGAAGTGTAGGGTAGGAGCATAACAAAATGGAATGGAAAGGGGGATGGGACAAGGGAACAAGCAGGGTTAGGGAATAAGGGAACACCAGTGGATTCAAAGGGGTTCTTTTTATATTTTTATGTATATTTATTTTACAACACACCTGGTGAAATGGTTTCTGGAGTGACCATGGCCAAAACAACAAACAAAACCCTACTACTGAGTGTGAACCACAAGTAACCTCACCTATGTGCAAAAGAAAAGGAAACCAAAAGACAAATAATACACCTAACTCTCTAACCAAATAATCAGGGTACAAACACATTTGCAAAACAAAATGACAGTCACTTCCTACGCTCTGTTACAACATGAAACGAACACACATGAGCCAAGGCAACAGTTTCTGAAGGGGCGAGCGAGGGGCAAGATTGAAAGCCAAATAACA